GCTGCAGATTGCCCAAAGGCTGTAGGCAGGTGGAAGAGAAGTAAATCGCCAAGATGGGGGCAGAGCTGCAGCCTGGCTCCTGCGGGAGTCCCCATCCTAGGCTGTAAGGACAGTGCTAGGAGCCAGCGGTTTCTCCTTAACACCCACAGCCTTTCAAACCACTTATGTTTGCATCCAAATTTGACATGTTGGCATTTCGTAGACATCCCGCCCAAATTGCCCAGGGCAATCCAGGCGGGCAGTAGAAAGGACAGTGGTGGGATGGGGTGGCGTGGCCTTGCTGGTCTTGCTTTCACACCATCTGCAAGTAGTTCCTTTTGAACTATAGGGATGCCCACGTGGGAGAGATAGTGGCCTGGGGGCAGGAGAGGATCTGAGTCTGAAAAATGATGGGCATTTAAAGGGAAAATAAGAAATTTCCCTGGATATATTAAATATTGAAAAAAATGTTGTTTCTAATAATTCAAAAGGGCCCACTGTGGCAGGATTTTACTCTGCATAAACAGGGGTCACCAGAGGGTTTCCAACAGAGGAGAGACGGGGACCCAAATTTCCTTTCAGTAGGCTCACTCTGGCCCCCATGGGGAAGACACACGTGGCAGGGAGGCACCGGCGGTGGGGACAGAACAGGGGTGGTGAGGGAGCTGACAAGGGGCCTAGCTCAGGTATGCTCGCCGGGACTGGCTGGTGCCAGAGACGTGCTGGGGGCTGGTGCAGAGCAGCAGGCCCGCAGGATTCCTGACGGACTTAGGTGCCTGGGTCCCAGCCCAAGCAGCCTGGAGGATAGAGTCTCCAGGAACCCAGTGAGGAAGACAGAGGGGAAGGGGCTGTTCCGGGGGTGCAGAGGCCTGGGCTCCAGTTTGATCCCTGCAGCTTTGAGACGCCCGTTCCACTTGCTTGTGGGGACGGCCATAGGAAGGGAAGAGGTTCCAGCCCAGTGAGATCTGCCAGCAGGGATGGACACCTCGATGGCCCAGGGCACTGCAACTCACGCACCCTCCTGGCAGTGTCTCTGCTTTTTGGGACCTCAGAACTGTTTCAGGACACATCGTCACATCGGCAGCTACCGTAATCACAGCAGAGGGGACACGTGAAGAGCATTCACTCACCACCCACGGTCCACTCCACCTTCTACTAAGCAGCTCCCACAATGGCTCCCATCATTCCCATCCCTGGCTGGACTCAGCCCTCGCTTCCAAGGAATGGAAGCAGGCAAAAGAAACATTATGTTCCTCCTGAGATTAGGTTACAAAAGGCTGTGAGTTCCTCCGCTGCGTCTTGCCCTATGCGTGTTCTGATGGAGGCGGCCACCTGGCAAAGGCTGGGGAGGATGCAGCCAACGCCAGTGAAGAACAGAGGCTTTCAGTCCTGCAGCCTGCAAGGGACTGACTCCTGCCAACACCCCTGGGAGTGCGCTCAGAAACAGCTCCTTCCACAGGTGAATTTTCACATGACACTTGTACCTGGGACCCCATGTTACAGCCTCACACAGACTGTGAAGCAGAGGACACAGTGATCCTGCCTGAATTCCTGGCCTGCAGAATTCCTGTGGTGTGAGTGTGTTGGCAGGAACCCCAATGGTCTGGAGTAATCCATCAGGCAGTGATAAAGAACACACACACACGTCATGTCTTGCTGGCTGTAAGCTGCACAGAAACCAAAGAGCCCAATTAGATGATCCTTTTCTAAGGCCAAAGATTTAAAAAAAAAAAAAAAAAGTATGTGTGTGTATATATATATATATAGATTTCCAGTTGAAGAACTATTAAAATACATGTATTGCAAAAGAAAGAAAAACAAACAAACAAAAAAAGGAGTGATGGCCAATGTTTTTCCATCTTAGCTATAGTTATATATTAATACCTTGATCAATTGAGAATAGTTGTGGGAGAATAATCAATTACCTACCTGAACCACAATCCTTGTATATAGACTTAAGCTTTTGCGAAACATATATAATCTCAGGACATATATGATAACACTAAACTTTATTTTTTTAAATTAACTATAGTATTTTTATTCTCTGAACAATACTTGTTCGTTGGAGTAAAAAAGATAATACCCATAATAAGCAAAAGAAAGAAAATAAAAATACCTAGATGAATTTACATATACACAAACGAACACACATGCACACGACCACGCACACACACACATACAGGCTCACGCTGTTTCTAAGCCTACCTTTTCACAGTTTTGTTTATCCTGGACATACCTCCTTGTCAAGAGAGGGTTATCTTCTTAACGGTAACTGCAACTGCATGTTATTCCAATGTATATTTTTACTATAGTTTAACCCATTCTCATGTTTGAACTGTTTGCATGTATAGTTTTCTGTATTACAGATAACTAGATGACAAAGAACCAAGTCTTTCACTTTAAATTATAAAAATACTAATTTTATAAGAAGATAAAGGGGGGCCGGCCCGGTGGCGCACTGCTACAGTGTGCCGCTTGAGAGCACGGTGGCGCTCCCGCCGAGGGTTCGGATCCCACATACAGACTGGTTCCCGCTCACTGGCTGAGCGAGGTGCGGGCGCAGCACCAAGGGTTGCGATCCCGTTGCCGTCCCGGTCCGGTACGGGCGCGACACTGAGGGTTGCGATCCATTGCCGGACATGAAAAAAGACAAAAAGGAAAAAAAAAAAAAAAAGAAGAAGATAAAGGGCATTTTACTAAAATAAAATTCAGTGTGCACCACTTTCAGATGTGTAGTCTGCTCTGTAAAGGCAGGGATGATTAGTGCTCCTATCCTGGAGCACAGATTCTGGGTGGGAGCTTGGAGACCTCTGTGGGCTGAGGGCTTGAGGGGCTCAGGGCTGTCCTGCATCAGGAAGGTGAAGGACACCCATATGCCATCTTCAAAACACCCAGGTCCTTCTCTTCATGTTACCCTGCACAGGCCCAGTCCCTCTGAGAAGCTGCTCTCAAACTCTGCACTTAGCAGAATAACCTAGGGGTCTTGCTAAAAATACATTTTCCTTGGCTGCATTCCCAGAAATTGGACTTCAGTGGTAGGGGTGGGAGTTGGGGGATTGGCCGGGTGATTCTGATGACCACTGGAGATTAGGAATTGCTCCATTAATTCTGGCCATGGAAGAGATCAGACCGTCAAGCACTGTCCACAGCAGATTTTTTTTTTTTTTTCGTTTTTACAAGAAGTATTTGATGCTCAGACAGATGAGATGCAGATTCAGGAAAACATCCAACATAGTGTACCTCCACCTTTGCTAAAGTTGCCCTAAAGTGAATACCTCCTTTGTGTTGCTTTCACAGACT